CTACCCACTCTTGGGTTACGGCAGATGCGCAAGATTCTGAGTGAACATGCATACGACTGATGCTGCGAGATACAAATCCACATTTTCTCCCCAAAATCCTTGCCAATTTACATGTGTAACAACCTGAATTATCCTTTTTTTTCCCTTTCGATTAGCCAGCGATCGATCAGTAGTCAGCAGTACATTAGTAGGCGTTCTAAGACATCCAATTAGGATTATAATTTGCAAAAATTTGCTACGAAAGTTATTCGCAGCTCTGTCACGTGAAAATGACTTGTGCATTTGGTGGGAGTTCAATCCACACTGCAGTTGTGGTTAGGATCTTAGGAGGAACGGGCACAAGCATATATCCCTGAAATTATGGTGAGACCAGCACGGAAAGATTGCCAAATACAAAACCTTCAGCACACCCTGGATCATTTCCCCCCTCCCATGGTTTTTTTTTTGGAAGGGTATGTACATTTTAAAATATTTGGCTTTATAGAATTACTAGATTTGCATGAAGTGAAACGGCATTTTTCAACGAAAACAGCAAGTCAATATGAGAATACGGTAATACTAACATTTCCCTAATAATGTAACGTTTGAAGCTTAAACGAGCAAGAACTAGCTTATGCATACTGGAATGACTCATTCATTGAGAAAAATAACTTCCATGTTCTCTAAAAAGAAATTGTTATTTTTTAGAGTTTCTATCCGATTAGAGAGAGTTTTCATTCAAGCTTCCAATAAAACTAAGATTCCAAGATATTTCAATCTCTGAAACAGTATCTTGATCTCCTAGTTCCTGCGAAGAGCAGCAGGGCATGATAGACCCTTCTCCTTCCCTCCTCAATCATAGCTTTAGTCATTATCCTCCCAGTGCCATTATCACGCTAGCATGACCGGAGGTCCAACAAGAGCCTCCCGTATTAGCAATCTCGAATCAACAGCGATCCTTGTCATTATCCTGTGCTACTTGTGTGGGTTTTTTTTGTCTTGTCAGGATGTACGCTTTAATTTGCAACATCATTTGATTCTTTTTCTAGCCACCAGTTGGCTTCTATGAACTCGCTGAAATAATTGAGATATGTAGATCCGAAAATTCGTGGACACGACTTATCGCATTTAGCTCTACTGTCTCTTCGAGGAAGGTGGCGACTTCATAACATTTTCATGAAGCTAACAATTTGTTTCTTCAGTTCTTGTGAGTTGTTTTTGTAATCGCTTGCTGACACCCCTGAATAAATTTGCGACCTCCTAATAGAAGCTAATCGACTTCCGTCCCATCCCATTCAAATGAGACACTCTGCCGGCGTTTTGCACGCTCATATCTCGAATCGATATCATTTGGGCCGTCCCTTAACTCCCTTCCCCCATTCCTCCAGCGAAAAGAATAAAATTATATACCAACTTTAAGGGAATTCCGTCCATAATATTCAAACGAGACGCACCGGACTCATTTCCAAGGAGTTCTGTCCCGTAACAGTCTAAAGAGATGCAATGTTCCTTCATGAAACGGTCACGCTTTGGATTAATGATAGGTGGTGCGTTGCGTCATCACGGGATTCACAATTGCCTGTATGCAAATTTTCCTCGAATTTCGACCAATAGCATTGAAGTGAGACATCGTTCGAATTTCAAAGGCCGGGTATTAGATCATCCTTTCTATCCCCCTATATACGAGATGCGGATCGGCTCAATATGACCGACCCGAGCCAAGGACGGGCAAGCAGCTCGGTTTGCAATGCGATTTCCGGTGGTGTGCAAGGGTATGCATCCATGCATACCTCGAGTTCTAAAACTTAGAGGTCTGTGCGTGCTGCGGGCATGCTCGGATAGGCCCAAAAGGCACGCCGGCTCGGGCGCGTAAGGAACGAGTTTTAGGTCGGACTCGGGCAATACTTCGAATCGGGCCGTTCGAGTTGGGTTCGGAAAAATTGGACCATGGAGGCCTCTGGTGGACGTACAGACACACGAATATATAAATCAAGAATCCATTTTACAGGGTGTCTCATAAGTCACTATACCATTTTAAAAAATCACAACTACTAAACGGTTAGCACAAAAAGGAAGTAACATTAACTGAGTGATAACATGTCATTTGGAATTACTTTTCTCAAAAATGGAAGCAATTCTGAGTTTTGAAAGTGCCTCAAAATGCCCTCCGCCTACATCAATACATTTGATATGAGGCATGGCACTAAAAAATAGCCTAAACTCACTTTGAGCTCTGACGGGACTCTCAAAGACCAGGTGAAAACTTTTCTTCATTCCTCCAGCATCAATTGCGAAGCCTTTTCTTATGACAGCAAAAATAAATTTAAAAACAATTATGTCCTTTTCCGTTTCTCAAGTCTGTCTGAATTTAGGAGAAAAAAACCATAAAAAAGAACAATTTTGTAAAAGAGGATTGGAAAAGGTGTGAAATGAATCTTCCTAAATAGGTACGTCTTTCTAATATGCATTCGAACAATTTCGATTTGAGTCTGATATCAAGTCATTATCGTGAAAAAAAAACCTTTGAAGGATGTTCTTTCCATTAATGCTTGTCGCAGTTCGGAAAATATTGCATCTTGAAATGGTATACTGACTAATGGGACACCCTGTATGCATGAACAGAGGAGAGGGCTCTCTACAAGGATATACTGTATTTCCAAACCCAGGATTCGGGAACGAAGGGGAAGACCCCCCAGTCAGACCGCGGAAGGGTGCCTATGCTCGTCCCTGGGTTCCTGGGAAGTCGATCGGAGTTGTGGATGCACTTTACGCCCACTTCGTTCCCCTCCCCGTATCTCGCCTCTGCTCGCACTCCGTGTCGTCTGCTACGGCGGAATCTCGAAACGTTTCAAGTAAAACTCCTTCCCATTCAGTGTTACATGGGAATAGACAAATGATGCATGTGCCAAATCACTCCTCAGACATTCCCGTTTTGAATGCGAACCGCAATTTTGAAGGAATCGCAGAGGGTCAAGGCAGATGAGGTGAAAGTTGACCGCGATCCCCAGACATTCATGATCTGAGTCAGTTTAAAACCGTAAGGATAAAAAAAGAACTCTCACAGGGCCGTGAAACTTGGGGAAACCACTCTCAAGAACTGTTTCTACAATTTCGTTATCGAGTGTCCCTTTCGCAACCTCGATGGTTCGCAATAAAAACGCGCCAGAAGCTGAAAACGGGAAGTTTTCGAGCAGTTTTTCGTACTTTCCTGAGTAATGCAAAGAGATAATTTAATGAAACTTCCCACAAATATAGAGCAGGAAGAAACGCATAAACTCACGTATGCTTTTTCAGATTCATTGATTTTTGCGCAAGTTATGGAGGTGCAAAGGTTTCGAGGAAATTGCTTTTCGCGTTACCACGCCCGTAATAACGAACGGATAAAATCATTCCCACATTCATCTGAAAGATCTATTTAAGGCCCACGAACACAGGTCCTATTTCACGCCCTAACTATTTCGGTGCCCTGTGCAGACTCCTAGCGCCCCCACCCTCCAGAAGGAAGAGGGATCAATCCCTTGCGTCAAAAATGACGCAAAATGGAAGTCATTTCCACTGTCTAGTAAAACTGAGGGCGGCATCCATTCAAGTACTCTATCACATTTTGACGCAGCTGGTGAATTTGCGCCCTGGCATGAACGGATCCAATTTCTGGAACACTGGCTTACCTCACTCCATGTAACGTCATCTAACATAAGTAACCTCTGATTCTGTATGCGCGAACTAACCCTCGCACATCGACGTCCAGCATTCGCCGGCAGCAGCTGGGACCGAGGAGCACGACCAACGCCATCTAGGGAGAGTCGAGGGAACCAGGAGGAGTCATGGCGCTTCGCATGTCATTCTGCAGTATCAATGTCGGGATGAAGTCGGCTTTCTGGCCCCGTTTTGCAGATTTATCTCCGGAGATTTTGCAGAAGTGTCTTTTCAAAAAGTATAAGTGACATTAAGCTACTTAACAGTTAACTATTGGTGGTACCTTTCCGAACTTGGTCCATGGGGGTCCCGTGCTTGGAGTCTTAGGCCTACGACTGGGCTATGATAATGCGTAACACGCTTTCGCACAATCGAGTGAGGTTGACGAGGCTTACAGCGTTTCCAGGGTTAAGTTTATCCCATTTACATGTGTACCATACTATTCAATGGACTCTACCCTCGAGTTGAGATGTAGCAGCTCCGTGAGCGTGATTCATCGATATAGCCCTTTGCTGTTGACAAACACGATTTTAGGTGTCACTCGAGCACCGTTGACAACAGCGCCTAGGAAGAGGGGGTGGGGTGAAGTTGGTTGGGAAAAGCCTATCTCAAAACAGTGCTGGCCGTTATTTAACGTTTGTATAAATTGTTAGATTAAGCAAGGTGTTGCTTCATGTTACACAAAGGGTTTCATCATTGTACATTAGGCCTTCAAAAGGAAAACAATTTTGTTTTACCTTTACCTACACCATTTGAGTAGAAAACATTGTATCAAATCATGGGCAACCTCAAGGAGTCTTGCTCTATTGCAGGTTTTTGAGAGAAAGAGTTTACTGTAAAGTTAAGGCTATGAAATTTGTCTTATGTTGGGACCATAGGTGGCATAAACCCAGGTGCCTTGACATTTGGAAGATTATCATAATTTTTGGATGATTGGTTTGCATCAAGGATACATCAAATGACTTCATCATCTTTGAATCTTTGAATCTTTGAGGTCTTAAAATGTCCTGGAACATTTGTGTCAGAGATGGAATATGCATTCTCTTTTGAATTGCACATTCTGAATGACCTCATAACTTAGCTGCCAAACTGGGCTTGGGAAAATTATCATTCTGTCACCAAATGTGAAGTTAAGCCAAATTTAGCAACTGGTGACTGCTTACTTAAGCATCTCCATTGTTACCATTGCCTCTTTTTTATATTTTGAGTTTTCATGTGTAAGCCTTAATCCTTGTCCTTTGAAATAATGGAGGTGGGTGAGGAGTTGACATCAGCTATATCCACCTATTGTATTGAAGTATAATCAGCCTTGATGTTAAATATTGAACCATGGTTCTTTAACCTGCAGGTGACATTTTCTGTGTGAATTTGAACTTCATTGTAAACACAGGAAAACATGACAAGCCTTGAGGACAAAACTCTGTGGGAGGACATGGATGTAAGTCAGCTCTTTTCCATGAAAATTATGTGATATAAGCAAAGTTTGAAATGAATGCTTTTGCAGTTTAGACCAATCATAGCTTCAAATATATATTGAGATTTATGCTTTTCCCATGTTTGACAGATATTATGACTGAGTATATGCCAAAATATCCCTTGTTGCTGCATGCTTAGATGAGCTTGTAGTCTCCCAGTCCATATGAATAGGCCTTCTTCCATGCAGGGAGGTGGAAACCTTTGGGTAGAGAACAACTGACAGAGCTGTTTCTAAGTTTCTTTTTAAAGACCTCCTTTACAGAAAAAAAAGAAAAAGGTCACTTAATATCATGTCGTATCTGTCTGCTAGTATGTACTTCTATTGTTAGAAGATGAATACTAAGAATATCTCCTTGATTACTGGGAGCCATGATGCTAGCACATCCAGGCATATTTCTATTTTGATAAAGTTCATGGCCAAAGCAGACTTTTTGCCTCACAATTTACATTTGTACATGTACTAGCATTAGGTGCTGGGTTGCTTGGAACAAGTGTTCCCTAATTCCTCCCCTATCCTTTATCCTCCATCTATTTCCTCAATGACAAAATTTCTGGATTTACTGGATTCATAAGAAAAAAATTAAATTTATGTTGATAATTAAGATCTAGATTTTTTTTATGATTGCACAGCAATACAATACGATGAATCCACTCTTTATGAAAGGAAGCTGCCCACAGGATAGGGCTTGCTCAGCTTGTTCCTCTTCTTACAAATGAAGCAAAGGTGAAGGCATCCTCCTTGTATGGCAGAACCTATTCTTGTAGAGCAGGAATTCATTGGTGTGCACTTATTCATTTTGGTGATGGTCTTCCATTCCAAGGAGAGAAATGAAGTCTTTACTCATAGCAGCATTGAAATCATGAAAGCATTGCATGAAAAACATTTGGCTGAATGAACTGGTCTTAAATATTTTTTAAAATCTCAATATTATATTCTTGGGTGACCAATTAATCTATCAAACCATTGCCTTACAGTTTTGCTATGAGAGTAATAGCCTCATAAAGCATATCTGAAAGATGTTAAATTTAATTAGATGGGGTACACTAAATAGGACAAAGGCTCCAAAGACTAATAATGAAAATTTTCTCTTCCAGACCTCTGTGGCTGATGAAATCCTGCGTCTGGGAACAGATGAGATCATTGGCAGGACACGTCTGCTGGACAGCGAAATCAAGGTAAGTACAGTGGAATCTGTGGATTCGGCCACCTCCCATTTGCAGCCAGAAATGCTCAATCCCAATCGTTAGCTCCATAGGCTCAATGTTAAAATAACCTGTTTTATCTGGCCACCTGTCTAACATGGCCTGCAGCTGAGGATTTGCAGACCCTCTGTGCTGGCCACTCTTTAATCTGGCCAGAACACAGGAAGGAAGATTGCAGGTTGATTTCCTTCCTCTTCATTCCCCTGTCTCTCACCTTTCCTCCCTCTCGCTTCCCTTTGTGCTCCCCCTTCGTAATCTCCGAATTGACCTGTTGCTTGGTTGTCAAGGTCACATCTTTGGAGTCTCAATAGTGTGAAAACAATCATCAGAGCGTTGACCTAGCTCTTCTATGCATTTTACAACCTTTATTTAAGGCCATAGAGTGCCATGGAGAAGGTAAGTGCCATTTGGCAGAGAATATTATGGATGGATGGAGAAATATCGGTTCCGGTAAGAATTATATTCGATAGCAGCTTCTCGCGCGGGGAAGTACCTAAGGACTGGAGACGCGCAAACGTCGTACCGATCTTTAAGAAGGGCGAAAAGAGTAATCCAGGAAATTACAGGCCGGTAAGTCTCACGAGTATCCCAGGGAAGATCATGGAGAGCATACTAAGGGACCATCTCTTGGATTTCCT